GAGAGACGTGATCAGTCAACAATAAAATATCCTCGTTAATGTTCAATAATGGTCAATCCACCTTTATTTACAAATAATGTCTACTGACTTGGGTTGCGAATGTTTGTAACTTTTAAAATACGGGTCCCCAGAAAAAAGTTTAGGCAACACTGGTTTAATCCACTTCCACCATGGTCCCACAAACTGAAAAAAGTTCACTTCTGAATCTAAGAAACATTTAGCGGTTTGTGGATGTTCAAAGCATTAGTTATTTCTGTTTTATTGAAGCTCGTCCCTCCTAACAGAAGTTCATTTGTTTGTAATTAGCAGTTTTTATTTTTGCAGATCCGGACTGCCTGTGGGGTTATTTTGAGGACCTTTTCCCATTCAGAAGATCTATTTATTTTGTTTTGAGAATTGTAAATCTCTATGGAAACTGTCCTATCTTCTCATCACCCTGAAACCCATGGATAATCGACTTTAACTGGTGCCAGCTGTGAAGAACACGGCATGCTGGGTAAAAAAAAAAAAAAAAAAAAAAAAACTCGCAAGATTCAGGCGCATGTGCAGAGCGGGAAAAAGCTGTAAGAGTGACATAAGCGAATTGTAATTTTTTTAAATCGAGGTTTAAGCAGTTAAAATGTGCCCAAAAACAGGATGCGAGGGGAAAATAGAAGAACAAATAGGCAAAAATACTGAATTATTGCAGCTGGATTTACTAAATTTTTGCAGTCTACATCTCGCTACTAACCAAGTCACCGTCATTACGTTACAAGCCGCTCAAATTAGGCTTTTATCAGGGAAAGATAGAAAATAAGAACGTGGTGTCAAAGTAAACTTGCAATGTCCTTTCAAAATACGTTCTCTAAAACCACTACAGTCGCGTCCAGGAACTTAGGGAATGGACTACAGAAAGTTTACAGCTGTGAAGGACAAATATAAAACACTTTAGTCAAGCAGCAACTTCTGAAGGAAAGGTGAATGGAGCAGATGAAAGTTAAATGGTGAGTAGTCTAATTACTGTATTTTTCGGACTATAAGTCGCACTTTTTTTCATGGTTTGGGTGTTTCCTGCGACTAATACTCCAGTGCGACTAATATATTAAAATTTTCACACTGACAGTCGCGAGAGGGCACTCTAAGTTTGTATGACAGTATCTGCTGCTCCTGTTCCTCCTGTGCCACTGTCACTTGGCTCTACTGCGCATGTCTCCTGCAGAAAGAGCCTCTGTCCTGCTGCAAGTCGTTAAATATTCAGCCGAAAACTGTAATCGAGCAGCAGAAAGAAAGTTTGGAGTGAGCTAGAAACTTGTGAGGGACTAGCAAAAAGCGGGGATGGAGAACACAGCTTCACGGTAATCAGGAGGGTGCGCCAACTTTCCTGGAAGTTATTGGACGGATCGGCAAAGCCTGGACTTCCATGACACTGAAACCATCCTGTCGGGATTCAGAAAGGCCGGAATAATTCTAACTGGAACTGATGCAGAGTCTAACGACAGCGACACAGAAGAGGAAGCGGCGCTCTGTTTACCTCCGGAGGTTGCGGAGTTGCTCAGAAGTGACACCGAGGATGAAGAATTGAATGGATTTCGTGATTTGGAGTGAGATGGAGAGTTTGTTAAACTTGTTCTGTTCTGTTGTTTATGTTATAGTTTATCTGAAGAACTGTTCATATGTGACGTTAACAGTCTGTTGTTCTCTGTTTTATTGTTTTTACTAGAACTTCACTTTCAAGATGAAATGTCGGTTCCTAGTTTCTGATTTTGTAAAATAAATTTCCCCCAAACAGTGCAAATTAAAGTCTTGTGCAGCTTATATATGTTTTTTTCTTATTCATTATGCATTTTTTGGCTGGTGCGACTTATACTCCGGAGCGACTTGCTATTGCTGTAACGCATCGTCTCTCTTGTTGTCAAATTTTGAACTGTGATTTAAAACATCCAAACAACAATGAATACATAAGTAATATAAAAGAGTTTGGTGTTTGAACGTGAGACTACACAGAGGCTGGTGTCACAGGAGCAGCTCTGTTGCCTCTGGTGTAAATTGACGCTCTTAAAAACACGAGCCGATGCAGATCTAAATTATGTGTCGTTAAAGCTCCTGGTATAAATTTTCACTAACAAAAAGCCCAGAGGAAGCTAGTACCGAAACATAGGTTTGCAAAAAGAGTAGTAAGTCCAGCTGTTTTGATTCAACTTCGTGATAATATCTTATTCCTGGACATCAAAAACCTCTTTAATTTAAAATACCAATAAAAAACTGAATGAGAAGTGTGTCAAGAGTTTTTTGGTGGTGTAAACGAGGGACATCCTGCTGCTTTGGTAATCCCCTGCTGGTATTCAGAGCCTGAATGTAACGCGGAAGTGGAGTCGCAAAGCAAAGGAGTCACACCGACCCTTAAAACGGACACGAGGCCAGGAAGTGTAAGGACATGACAAACACAAATCACCGCCAGGATGTGTTTCCTAGTGTCTCCTAATGTCACTGTGTTCGATAAAAGGAAAGAAAGTATATTTAAAAATGCCTTACAAGATGAATGCTTTGCTATTTTTGTCAGTACTCCAGGCGTAAGCTCTCAAAGATGGATTAAACTGCCTTTTTACAAATAAATAACAAAGTGTTGACAATATGAAATGATTTGAACGTTTGTTTTTCTTGCATCGCTCCTTCAGAAATCATTTCATTTTTCTCGTTCAATCTCATTTGGAACAGAGTGTTTTCCTTTTGAGACAAGAACTCAGCCTAAATACGCAGGGTTTGTGTGTTAAACATGTGTGAATGAAACAAAATACAACTCCAGCTGTGGTTTTGACGAGGAAACAACATTATGACATAGATCAGAGAAGAGCGTAATATGTGCGCTTTAATGAGAAACACTCCAATTGGGTCTAGAAAATGCAACTGCTCTGACTAAAATCGAGTTGCTGAACAAAAACCACCACACACGGGTATTTCCTGAGCAGGTTTTGACGGTCCATCAGCTTCTTTGGTCTTCCAGGTTCTCAAGAAATGCAGTATTTACTTCACTTCATGGAAACTGTCTGACCTTGCAGCATTAGGATTCGTTCGCTTGACGGTAGGCGGGTAATTTTTTATTTAACCAGTCGCTGCTATTTGTTCGTGACGTATGTAATGCGCCACTAACGGGTCTAACTGGTATATTAAGTTTTTCCCAAATCCCGTAGGAAGAAGGACAATAACGTCTTTCCCCTTGATAAAATTCACCAAACATTCTTTTTGTTCCGGCTTTAAATCCTCGATCTCAGAAATCGTTGCCAACACAGAATATATGACTCTTCGCTGATTGGTTGGTGCCCAAACTTGCACTTCCAGGGTTTTTGTGAACCATCTAGTGTATTCCAATTCCTGATCTAGTTGCTGGAGAGAAATGAAATTGAGCGGAGGCACTAGGTGGCGCCAGCCTGGTTATTATTTACTACAAAGAATATTCCTTTTTAAAAACCATTCAATATCTAGCCAGGCTGGCACCACCTAGAGCCTCTGCTCAATTTAATTTCTCTCCAGTCAGGAATTAGAATACACTAGACGGTTCACAAAAACCCCGAAAGTGTGAGTTTGGGCACCAGCCAATCAGCGAAGAGCCAGACATTCTGTGTTGTCAACGATTCCCGAGATCGAGGATTTAAAGCCGGAACAAAGAGAATGTTTGGTGAATTTTATCAAGGAGAAACACATTATTGTCCTTCTTCCTACAAGATTTGGGAAAAGCTTAATATATCAGTCAGCCCCATTAGTGTCGCATTACATACGTGACTATCAAATAGCAGCGACTGGTTAAATGAAAAAAAGTACCCGCCTACCGTCGAGCGAACAAATCCTAATGCTGCGATGTCAGACGGTTTGTACGAAGTGAAACTGGCTGACGAACCAGACTATTCAATTTCACCCTTTAGGACCCTTATTACACAAAATTCACTGTTGTGAGCTGGTCATGTTATAATGCTGTTACCTCATCAAAAACATATGTGGTGTTGTGTTTTGTAACCTTTTATTATTAGTCTAATTACATCTCAAAAGCTCAAAATGCTCTGTTCCACCTTGTGATGTTATGAAGCGGTAGTTTTCAAGTTAACAGCTCCTTTTACTAACAACTCCAGGACTGAAATCATCCAAATGATTCTAGTGAAGGCGAGTTTAAAAACACAGTGGAGCACTTCCTGTATTACCACATGACATCACAAGGTTTTAACAAAGTGTTTTTTGTTTGTTCGAGAGAAAAACTCAGCCTAAATCAGGATAGTTTGTGTGTTAAACATGTGAAAATGAAACAAAACTCCAGTCATGTTTCTGATGAGGAAACAACATAACATGGGCCGTTTAATGAGAAACACTCGAGTTGGATCTAAAACATTCAACAGCTTTATAATATTTAATATTATAATATTTTCAACAAAGAATATTTCTTTTCAAATACCATTCAATTCCAAACTTAAAGGTCCTATATTTACGCAAAATTGAATCTTATGAGCTAGTCATGTTATACTGCTGTTATGTCATCAAAAACATACCTGGACTTGTGTTTTGTAACATTTTTTTATTAGTCTAACTACATCTCTGAAGCTAAAAATGCTCAAATGAAGCGGTAGTTTTAAAGTTAACAGTTTCTTTTACTGGTAACTTCAGGACTGAAATTATCCAAATGATTCTTGTGAAGGTGTATGGATTTTAAAAACACAGCGGAGCACTTCCTGTATTACCACATGACATCACAAGGTGTTACAGAGTGTTTTTTGTTTGTTTGAGAGAAGAACTCGGCCTAAATCTGCATGGTTTGTGTGTTAAACATGTGAATGAAACAAAACTTCAGTTCATGTTCATGTTTTTGATGAGGAAACAACATTTTTACGGATCAGAGAATAATGTAACATGGGCCGTTTAATGAGAAACACTCGAGTTGGATCTAAAACATTCAACTGCTTTGATTATAATCACGTTTTTGGCCTAAACCACCACACAGGTATTTATTTCCCCAGCCGGTTATGACAGTCCATCCTCACCATCAGCTCCCTTTGGTCTTCCAGGTTCCTGAGAAATGCCGAGAACTCTTGTAAGGACTTATCTGCAAAAGAAGACAACCCAAATAAGGCCGTGAATGAAAACGTGCCGTCTCGGTGTTGACACAGGCAGCTGGCGAGGTCTTTATGATTATCAGATGTGCTTCGACCGCAGACCTTCGCCAAGGCTGCTCTTAGAAACTCACAAATAAATATTTACAGCAACATTCAGCCCTGGTGGCGGCATACCCGGCTCTTAGTGCGTACGGTGTTTGAGAAGGGAAACCATAGACTGTATAAAGAAGTGGACTGTGAGGGAGTTTGACGTCAGCCGTAGTGTTCGGCGCCAGTCAAATGAAGCTCACAGAGGCTGGCAGTTATGAGGGTGAAATGACATGGCTCAGTGCAACGTTTATAGAGAGAGGGGTGGCAATTTTTCCAACTACCAGGTTTAATTCTGAATAAAAATCATTTCATTCTGACTAAAATTTAATTCTGCTTTAAAAATATAAGCACACGAAGTAAGTTGGTGGTTTATTCCGATTTTAAAGCCAAATTAATTTGTTCCTCGATCATGTAAATGTTTATTCTTCTTAAAAATACTTCTGGGTCGATCATTCAGACGATCCAGCTCCACCAGTCCTGGCTTCGGACTTTCATCCACGTCTCTTTGGATTTGTGAGCGGGATGTGGGAGTGGGCTGAGGTAGAGCGGCCCTTGACACAGTTTGTCTTCTTCCTCTCTTCTCCGACACTCTTCCCTTCTCCTCCTCAGCCGACAGACGTAAAGCGTGATGAGACAATTCTCCAGCTGCTGCGCAATTATCATCGAAACCACTGCAGAAAAACTTTGGATCATGTTTGTGTCCGTGGAGTAACGACAAACCGAGATGACAGAAAAGCCGGTAGCAGCTGAAGTGTGTGTTTTCTTCCGGTCGACGTAAATACGTTCATGTCTCTGTCCAATCAGAACTCTTCCCACTCCCAGACGTTGAGCAGAATTAAATAAAGACGATTTAACGTGTTTTCCATGTAAACGTCAATTCAGAATTATTATTTCCATGTAAATCTTGAAGGAGAATATTTTAATTACAAACTATTTAATTCAGAATAATTAATCCGGAATCAAAAAACATCATGTAAACGTGGCCAGTGTAAATTTAATTGGAGCCAGAGTCAAAGTGCCCCATGGTCACTTCTTATTTGCAATGAAACTTTGTCCATTTATATACATATACATTACGGTCTATGGTTCTGGTTCAGCTCCAGTCAAATGAAGTTCAAGTAGCTAGCAGTTATAGGGGCGAATTTGGAACCAAATTCCATAATAGGAATAGGAGTATATATATATATGGACAAAATGGGGAAATGAAAATATCACAGGATCATGTAGAGGGGGTTAATATGGATATTTTAAGACCAAAATAACGAGGCTGACTTCAGCGGTTACAGAGAGAGGGGCAAAAAAATGTCAGCGTAAAGTGAACTGGAGCCAGAGTCGATGGAGCCAGAAGCACCCCCATTGTCATTTCCTATCTGAAATGTGTAGACTAGCAGTGTCCATTTATATACAGTCTATGGTTTAGCTCCAGTCAAATGAAACTCATCGAGATTGGCAGTTGAAGGTGCAAATCTGGAGTTCCACATTAGGAACCGGAATTTATTTATGGATAAAAAAGCTAAATAAAAACACCAGGATCATGCAGAGCAGGTTAATACGAATATTTTAAGACCAAAATGACAAGGCTCACCGCAACAGTTACAGACAGAGAGGTGAACATATTTCATTGTAAAGTGAAATGAACCCAGATTCGATGGAGCCAGAAACGCCCCCATTGCATTTCCTATCTGAAACACAGTGACTAGCAGTGTCCATTTATATATACAGTCTATGGTTCAGCTCCGGTCAAATGAAACTGACCAAGGGGTTACAGGGGCAAATTTAGAGCAGAGTTCCATATTAGGAATAAGAATTTATTTATGGACAAAATAGTCAAATAAAAACATTTTAAGACCAAAATGAGGAGCCTGAGAGCAGCAGTGACAGAGAAGACTGACGTTGAAACTGTAGAAACGCTCATGTTCACGTCCTATTAGTGAAAATATCACAATTTTCACAAGAAGAGACAATCTACGAGACTGGGTCAAAACAAGATTTTAACATACTTCTTAATCTGTGTATCATTTGTTCATTTGTTTTTCAATATAAAACCAAAAATAAGAAAATAAAAAACAATTATTTTCTTCATTATTTGTCTCCAAAACCAAAATGAAAAAAATAGATAACAGCTGTTTCACATTTACGTGACTTAAACTGACTGAACAATGAGTGCTGGTACGGGTCCGGATGTGCGCCTGCGTAGACTGTTGGGTGATCAGGACTGAGACCGGGACCAGACCGGGACCAGACCGGGACTGAGACTGGGACCAGACTGGGACCAAGACCAGGATTGAGACCTGGACTGAGACCGGGAGTGAGACCGGGAGTGAGATTGGGACCAGATCGTGACCAGACCGGGACTGGGCCAGGACTGAGCCAGAACTGAACCAGGACTAAACCAGGACTAAACCAGGACCAGACCGGGAATGAGACCAGACCAGGACTAAACCAGGACCAGACAGGCTGGACCGGGACAGGACCGGGACTGGACCAGGACTGAGACCAGGACTGAAACCAGGGAACCTGAACCAGGAAAACTGAACCAGACTGAACCAGAACTGAACCAGGACTGAACCAGAACTGAACCAGGACTGAACCAGGACTGAACCAGGACTGAACCAGAACTAAACCAGGTCCTGGTCTGGTCCAGGTCTCAGTCCTGGTTCAGTCCTGGTTTAGTCCTGTTTTAGTCCAGGTTCAGTCCAGGTTCAGTCCGACATCACAGCTTAAGTCACATAAACGGGAAACGGTCGTTATCCATTTTTTTTCATTTTTCATTTAAACACAACATTGAAAACTGAAAAAAATAAATCATTATCAGTTTTTGATGATAATGAAGAAAACTGTTGTTTTTTCATTTTCTTGTTTTTGGTTTTATTCTGAAAAACGAACGAACGAATGACACACGGATTCTTCCTAATTCCACAATTCAGTTTCCAATTCTGGCCTTACAATTTTTACTTATTTGGATTTTGTTTCCATTCTTGTACTGCTTTTGGGACGTGTAACGAGACAACATAATTTTCCTCATATGTGCACAATTTTGTCGCAATTTTGTCTTGCGTAGATTTGTGGTTTGAGATCTCGTACCAGCCTACAGGTTAGTTATGTCTATTTCTATAAACAGTTGAGGAGGGGAAACCCAAACTTACCAATGCAGTCTTCATCGTCTGTCTTTGCATCGCCAATGTACTCAAACTGAAACTCTCCCAGGCACTGAGCGAACTTTCTCTGCGCCATGCCCAGCTCTGCAAAACAAGACAGAGAAACATTTAAAAACACCCGAAATGTTTAGATTGTAGATTATATCTTTTCTGGTGTAGGGTCCGTGAAACGCTTTTCTTCATAGATATGTTGTTTTTTGCTTTGTCTGGAACGTTTCACAGGATGGTTTTAAACGTTTTTATCTTCATGGAGACCAAACCAGACCAAGTTACGGGTCAGGTCTGTGGAGAGGCGACCCCGCTCACAGTCAGAATGCCTGTTTTTCTGTATTTTTGAGCAATAAAACCACCTGTAATTGAATAAATGTAAGGTCAAATTGTGGATCATTCCAGGCAGAGCAATGACAAATCCAGAGAAACAAACAGGTGATGGACCTCCAACCCAAAAGTTACACAATGGATCTTTAAGAATGTTTAGATTAGAATGTGGTCAAGTAACAAATACATTTACTCATGTTACTGTAATTGAGTAATTTGTAATTTTTTAAGTAGCTTTTGAAATAGGTAATTTTACTTTCACTCGAGTATATTTTGACCCAAGTATTTTACTTCATTACATTGGAACCCACCTTCGTTACTGAGTAAAATCAGACTGAGAGAAAAGAAAAATTAAATGTGAGAAAAAAAAAAAAATGCCGGTGTGGTATAGGACTACCATATAGTATTTTGACTCCGGGGGCAGAATCCTATTATGGAATATTGACCCCCCCCATGAAAATCTATATTTTATTAATAAAGAACTTGAATTTGATAGAAAAACTTTGAATATTAATACTATATCTGCAAATGAAAACATACTGACATATTACAAATGTTTTCTGAAGAACTCAGATGCATTTTTTATGTCGATTATAACTTTTGAATGTTAAAAATTACTTAAATGTTTAAACACATATTTTACTGAAAATGAGATAAGTAGTTATTAATTAGTTAGGTGATCAAAGTGATGTATAATGATTTGGAATCTTGTTAAAATAGACGGGGCTGATAATCTGAGTAGTTAAATAGGGGATATGAGAAGATGTAATAACACAACATGACTAAATTCAAGGTCATTATCCTTACAAACCATTGCCTAAATTGACATTATGATTAAGGATTATCTGAAACTAAAAACCATAACAATGTCAAATACAATATAAAAAGTGACAAGATTGTATATATGTATATGCAATTTTAACAATACGTTACATTTACACAAAATACCAAGTCATTATGCATCAAAATATTCCTTAAAATACCTTAAAAGAAAGTGAATATGTAGCAGTATATAATAAAAGTCAGTTACATGAGGAAATAATGATCAGATAAGTAACTACTAAAGAAAAAAGTAAAGGGAGTCAAAATCCTATGGGGGGGGTCACTTTACTATAGCAGTATGCTGACTCAATGTTGGTCAAAATACTATCTCACACCGGAAATGAAAGGAAATTGCGTGGGCTTGTGGGCTTTCACGTGCAGCATTTTCACAAGAAAACGTTGCACAAAACCTGTCACTTTATCTTAGATCAACTTGGATGATGCTGGTGCAGAGCCACAGATCGAGGTCGTCACGGGCGATATTCAAGAAGACTGTGCACTGAATAATTCTGGAGAAGGAACGCAAAATGTGGAACAACATAATAATGCAAGTGTTTAAATTGTACGTATTAGTGAGCTCAGTTGTCTTTAAAATGTACATAATTACCTCCGCGGAGTGAGTGAGTGAGTGAGTCTGTCTGAGTGAGTCTGTCTGTCTGTCTGTAACATAACTCAAAAAGTTATGGACCGATTTTGATGAAATTTTCAGGATTTGTTGGAAATGTGAAAAGGAAGAACTGATTTCATTTTGGGGGTGATCCGGAAGAAATCCTGGATTCTGGATCACTTTGAAATTTTAGTTAACATTGCGGTAAATGGGGCCAAAAATTTAGTTTCTCAATATCTCGGTTAATTATTGACCAAACCCCATGAAATTTGACTCAGGGATGGACAATGGGATCCTCTTTCATATTCCAAAGGCTGATCCGGATCTGATCCAGAAGACTGATTTTATCGCAATTTATATAAAAAATGGGGGTAGTCCTTGGCGGAGGTCTGCGCTCTCTGAGTGCTTTTCTAGTTTGCACTGTATCACCTAAAAGTCAATTAAAACAACTTGTGCTGGATTAGATTCATGACTCATCCTTTTCTGCATCAATTCATTTACCTTTACTCGAGTAGACAGTATTTTTAGATGGTTAGTTTGACTTTTACTTGAGCGGGAATTAAGATACTTTTACGTAATTACAAATTTTCAGTGCTTTTTCCACTTCTGAATGTTAAAATGTGTCACAAAGGACAGTGAGGTAATCTAAAACATGTGACAAAACTATAATTAAATAAAAAGTCACATGGCATCAGACGGGTAACCACATTTTAAACATCCTGTGTAGAGCCCGCTGCATCCTGTAACTGAACAAACAAAGACGACGAGACACGCGAAACTAAACAAACACGAGCATAAATCACAGAACTGTTCTATGTGTGATATAAACGACTGATACTCTGCGGTGACATCACGCTGGAGGGGTTCTACGTATCTCTGTGGTGGGGTGTTTAGGAGTTGCCGCGGTGACGTAATACACACATGAGCAAACACTGTCAAAAAAAAAAAAAAAGATTGAAGATGGTTTGAAAACTCAAGAAAAAAATGCAAAAAATGGGTTTAAACAGCACATTTTGAAGCCTGTGATACAATACGAGCGTTCATGGTCCTGTTTAGGAGTTTTATTTTTTTGAAAATCAGAGTGAAAAACTTGTGACTGATGTGTGAGCAACTGTGTACAAATAATTTCCGTTGTGGATCAATAAAGTTTGTCTAATTCTAAGTCTAAGGCTACATTCAGACTGCAGCCTGAAGTGACCCAAATCTGATTTTTTGGCCCCTATGTGACCTGTATCTGATCTTTTAATGACAGTCTGAACGACACAGATCGGATTTTTTTCAAATGTGACCCAGGACACTTGGATACGTGGTCCTAAAACCGATACATATCTGATCTTTTGACATGCGACTTCAGTGTGAACGGCCACACATCACATTCATCTTACCAACACGTCATAACCACGCGGTAACAAGCACCTTTTTCGAGCCAATACAGAACGCAGTGTACAAAGCAGAGGCGGGGACTTGCAGGTCGTGACTTGGACTCGAGTCAGACTTGAGACTTGACTTGATAAAATGGACTTAAGACTTGGGACTTGACTCGAACTTGAGAAGACTTGAGAATCACTTTTAATTCTTTCTATTCTGACCGTAATGATTCACTCTAAGATCTTGTCAAGTAAATTAATTTCTACAACTCTTATATACTCGATAAATATTCATATATAAATATACTATGATTTTTTTTAAGTACAATTTATCTTAAAAGTCATATAAATAGTAAAAACCTAAGCTATATTTAGTATTTCGGTTTAAAGACTTGAAATTACTTCAAAGCAGACGACTTGGACTTGACTTGGACTTATGGGCCAGTGACTCGAGACTCGACTTGGGACTTGACTCGGACTTGAGGTCAAAGACTTGAGACTCGACTTGAGACTCGTAAAACAAAGTCTTGGTCCCACCTCTGGTACAAAGTGATTAAAAGTAGTGATCAAGGCAAAGGGTGGCCAATTTTAAGAATCTGAAATATGTTTTATGAGTTATTTCACACTTTTATTTACTTCGTTGCATAACTTGTTCAGTTTTGAGGCCTTCAGCGAGAATCTGCATGTAAATAAATAAATGGTAGTATGTAAAATGTCATTTAAAATTGTCTCTCTCTGTGGAAATAGCTGCAAAATGTTACAAAGACTGACTATGCCCCACTAGTTAGACTTATTTCTAAGGCACAATTCCTTCACAAAGTAATTCAAAGCGATTTACAGAATAAGAAAAACATTAAAATTACAATAAAAACAAAACAAAACATAAATAATCATCATAAATTTTAAACGAGAGAGAGAGACATTAGCCTACATATGAACATTTGGCTGGATTCTGAGTAAATAAAATGTTATTACAGACTCGCTGCATGGCATAATTTACCCCCCGTGGGACAGAACTACACCACGAAAACAAAACACATTCTACATTATTTCCAAATAGTTGAGAAAAGCCTTGGGGGTGAGATCTTTGACCTACGCAGTCCCCCTGGGAGACACAAGAGAATGTGAATGGGTATTTTAAGACTGGCTGGGACTGTGAGCGCTTCACTGAGGAGTTAAGTTGCTTTCACTATAACAGTTATGAAATTATATATTATTATTACCATATTACATTACGAGACACATGCATGGAGCCTTTACCGTTTCACATTAGCAAATACAGACAAAAAAAGAGACAAAAAAGGTCTAAAACTCATGAAAAAATACACAAAATAGATTTAAACATCACATTTTCAGAAGCCGTGATCATTACAAGCTTTCATGCTCCTGTTTTGGAGTTTAATTCTCAACAAATCGAGATTGAGACAAGAAATGAGACTTTTAAAAGTCGAGACCGAGACAAAAACCGAGACTTTTAAAAGGTCGAGATCGAGACATGGCTGGGACCTCTGAGGATCGAGGCCGAGACAAAACCAAGACCTCTGAGGGTAGAGATCGAGACATGATCAAGACTTTTAAAAAGTCAAGACCGAGACAAGACCAAGACTTTTAAAGCTCGAGGCCAAGGCAAGACCGAGACTTTTAAAGATCGAGACCAAGACTAGACCAAGACTTTTAAAAGTTGAGACCACTTTTAAAGATTAAGACTTTTAAAGGTCACGACTGAGACAAGGCCAAGATTTTTAAAGACAGAGACAAGACCAAGACCTCTGAGGTTCGAGACCAAGACAAGACAGAGAGTTTTAAAGGTTAAGACCAAGACAAGGCCAAGACTTTTAAAAGTTGAGACCACGACAAGACTGAGACCTCTGAGGGTCAAGACCGAGACAAAACCAAGACTTGCAAAAGTCGAGATCAAGACAAAACTGAGACTTTTAAAAGGTCGAGACCAAGACAAGACCAAGACCATG